TTTATCAGATGATTTCTAATATTTTCAAAATAAGTCCTACCAATTCCCAACATATTGAGATAAGTTTCTTGACAAAGGAGTGTATTGTGATCTCAATGATAGAAAGTTCTTTTATTAGATCTAGTTTTCTTCTTAAGGCGTCTACTGCTGCTTATTGACCCACCATCCATTGCTTTTAACTGGGCCATTAAAAATATGTCCTGTTCAGACTTGGAAAGAGCTTGAAAAGATTCCCTTAATTCTGCAAATTGTTCCTTGGGACCATACACTTAATAATTCCAAGTTATTAATTAGTTATTAACCACTTATTAACTATCTCATTCTGAGCAAGAGTTATTAACCCAAGGAAAACCTATATACAGACCAAGTCTTTCCTAATTTGGAAGCCCTATTGTTATTTTTGTAAAGAATTTATTGCCCATAAAAGTTCTTCAGTTTTGTGTTTTTTAACACTTAATAAGTCACTAATAGGGTTATTAATTACTTAATAACTTGATCATTTTAAAGATAATTTTTATGCCTATCACTAGAAAAGATGAGGTTCCCAAGTTAACAGAAAATTTTAATTTTGAGTTAATTGAGAAATCATTAAAAGATGGTATCCAAACAATTCTAGGACAATGTATTAATTTTATAAAATTTTTATTGAATTATTAATTTTGATGTATTTTAATCAATTTTAAAATTTTTGGTTGAATTATGTAATTAATAATTTTTGGTTTTTCATATATATAAATATATTAATAATTTTTGTTGCCAATAAAGATCTGCAAGTTTGTGTTTTTTAACAGTTAATAAGTCATTAATAGAGTTATTAAGTACTTAATAACTTGGTCATTTATCAAAATAATTTTTACGCCCATCATTAAAGTCAGCAAGTAGGCTGTGTGTCAAACAATAGAATCAACCATAAGTCAGCAAGGAGGCTGTGTGTTGAGCTATAAATAACCTATTAAATAGGAAATTCAGATTGCACGCTCGCAATATATATAAATATATATTAATATATAGTCAATATAAGCAAAGCATCTTCCATTGTTGATCGGCAGACCATCACTTAAAGCTTCAATATATGGAAATGAATTAGGTTTTATATGATTTGTTTTCTCTCTATTTCTAGTGATGAAGACTTTAATTTTTGAAATGATGTAATTAAAGAATCTATGTTATTTTTAAAGCTCCTCACAAGCTGGCTCATGTGGAGCCTTAGTTGTTTTTCCATGACTAGTATACAATGAAGCTATTGATGTTGAGTGATTTGATATTGCTTGTTTTAAAATCATCTGGAAACATTTCACTTTGCTTGTTTGAATCAATAGCTAAATTTTGTTTGATTTTGTGCCCCAATCAGTTGAATTGAACTACTATATATTCTTTTCCATTAAATGATCAAGTATTATAATATTCCATTTCTAAACATTAATATTTGGATTACTATTTGGATTACTATAATAATTTAAACTGAAAATTTTAGAGCAACCATCAAATCCATTATGTTTATCTATTAAATCATAAATATAGCCACAAATTTGTTTAATCAAAATAATGTTTATTGATCTTTTATTAAAATTTAATGTTTGTCAGTGGTAAATTTTACATACTTGTATAATAGCAGATTCTCAAAGTTAATTTGACCTTTCTTTATCTTCTACTAATCAACTAATCACTATCTTGATGTTGTTTTCAGAATAGAATGGATCTCCTCACAAATTGGAATATTAATTTATGCCATTGTTTGTTAACTAGAACACATATAATTTTGTACACATTTTGATATTTCACTTACTAATAATAGCCCAGATGTCAAAGAAAATTGGAATTTTTTAAAAATTCAGTGGCCTTTCCAAAAAAGAATAATAATGAAGTAAAAAAATTCATCATCATTTTTAAGTAAAGATCATCAAAATTTGATGAATAATTAAATTCGTTGAAACAATTGAAACAAGGTTTGACTGTATTAGTATTAATATAATAATTACTGGAATCACCCAATTTTAATATATCAAAGCAAAACACATATATATTAATATATGGCATCAGCAGTAAGTTTACTGGATAGTGGTTCAACCGAAATAATTAATCCAGATATTTATTTTCAAATACATTTTCCTCCAAAAAACTTAAAAGAGAATGAAAATAAAATCCAAGAATTTGTTGATAAACATCAAAAAAAAGGCAGGAGAGTTGTATTAGTTACAGTAAGTTTTTGCATGCTTACAATTGATTGGTTAATTAATATCTTTGCCACCAATACAACCAGTATTTAATTAATATAATGTAGAGTGGAGGAACAACAGTACCACTTGAAAACAATACAGTGAGATTTTTAGATAATTTTAGTGCTGGAAGTCGTGGTGCAATTTCTGCTGAATATCCTTATTTTCTTTACTCTTTTTTTTTTTTCCTAATTACCTAATTAATCAAGTTATAATATCATTAACAATTAACCTATTAAATAATTAAAAAAATATTATGTAAACACATATTTTCTTGAAGCAGATTATGCAGTCATTTTCATGCACAGGCAATTTAGTTTACAGCCTTATAGTAGACATTATACTCATGCAAGTAATAATTTTTTGGATTTGTTGGAATTAAAAGATGATGGAAGTGTTGTAGGTGAGGAAGAAATTTTGAAAAAAAATTTGAGTGATTTTTTTTTTTGGTTATTTATAAGTCAATCATAGCAGTAATAATTAATATGAATGAAAAATTATTATTATCAATAGTTAATGATCAAGATCAGCAAAAAATGAAAATAATCTTGGAAAAATATCAAAAAGTAAATATCTAAAATTTAAAAAGTTAAATTTTTATTTTTCAAATCAAACAATTAACCTTATATATAAAATAAAGTTTAAGCAGGAGGAAACACTTCTATTCATAGATTTTGTAACTGTGACGGATTATTTGTTTCTTTTAAGAAGTGCTACTCAAATTATGAATAAATTAAAAGAGAATGCTATGTACTATCTTGCTGCTGCTGTTAGTGATTTCTTTATTCCAGTTCAAAAAGTGGTAGGCTTGCATATATTGTCATTACATTATGTTAATATTGACATTATTATATATACACCTTAATTTATTTATTTATACCTTCATTTGATTGTTTAGTCTCAACATAAAATACAATCAGGGGAAGGTGCTTTAACATTAAAGATGGATCAAGTCCCAAAATTTCTAAAACCAATGGTAACAAATTGGGCACCTGAAGGCTTTATAGTTTCTTTTAAGGTAATGTTTTCAATGTTCGAGTTTATTTTCCAAAATTTTCTCATTTCAAATTATTAATATGTATATATATATATTTTTTTTTTTATTCTTTTAAAAAAGTTAGAGACTGATCCATCACTTTTAGTTGAAAAAGCAAGAAAAGCCTTAACAAGATATGGACATCAAATTGTTATTGCCAACCTTCTAATGACACGTAAAACTGAAGTAATTTTTGTCACAAATGATTCAGAATTAGAAATAAAATTAGATGAAAAGGAAATATCAAATGAAAATGAAATTGAATCCAAGATCATTCCAGAATTAGTAAAACAACATGAGAAATGGATAAATAAAAGTTAATTAATAATAGAATTATTAACATTTAATATTTATTTATTTGAGAGTAATAAATGTTCTTAGGGGGGATAAAGGCATAATTATTGGAATTCATGATTTTTATTGAATTATTCTTATTTCTTGAATAAGCAATGATGTTTTATTTTTAAATCAATACAGTCTAACTTTGAATATGTATTAATAAAATTAGCATTCAAATAAATTATTTTTTTTGAAATTATCACTAAGATTTTCCTAAAGCATTCATCATTGCAATTGAATTATTTTCAGAATTAATCAATTTATTTAACTGATCAATTGATTATAATAATTTACAATTTATAATATTTTAATATTTTTTTTTTACATAAAAGATTTGTTGGTTTTGTTTTTTTGAATGAGCATGTAAGAAAAAATTTTGTTACAGATTGACCCTTATTAGATTGTTACATTTTGTAAAATTTTCTCTATGAAAATAATAATGATACTAAAAAATCATGCGGATGATCAACAAAAATCGAGGTTGTATAAATTTAAAGCATAAAATTTTGGACAACATTTCCTACCCCTTGAAAAAGTTTCCACTTCACTATTGAAAGAGCAAAATGGCGAGTTGGGAATATCCATCTCATAAGGAGTTTCCGAAAGTACCCAGCCTTGAAGAAGTAGATTCTGGAGATGTACCAGGTAATTTAAGTTTATTTACTGCAGTTATTATCAATGGATGGATTTGAATTTTATAAATATGTACACACAATAGGTATCTTGGATGCTCGTGAACAAAAAATTCGTGAAGACTGGGTAAAAGCAATGGAGTTTAGAATGATTCGAAACAAATTGAATCAATGTTACAAAACAGAGGGTGTTAACCATCATCAAAATTGCAAAGAATTGTCTGATATGTATTTAAATCTTCTCAATGATAGTAAAGTTAGAGGATGGAGAGTTCTTGATGATAATAACAAAAAAAGTTCTAATTGATTTTAAAGAGGTTTGTGTTTAAAATTTATTTTTGAAATTTAGGTTTAAATAATATATATATTTATTTTGTTTTTTTTAAAAAATTTTTTTTAAGAGAAGTTATTGCACTCCAAATAATTGTTTTTTTGATCTACTTGTGTATATTTTCAATGCAAGACTGCTATATTAATAAAGTTATGGGTTAATTATTATAATTTGTAAGGGTGGAATCATTTTATATTTTATTTTATAAAATTTTTTCATTATATTATTATATATGAAGTGATTAAAAAAACATTAAAAAAATTTTTTCAAATATATATTTTACATCAGTTCAGCATATTCTAAGAATCAATAAATAAAATAACCAATCATGAGAATAAACCATTTTTATAATATATAATGAGAAAAACTACTTTTTACATTGACACCAAATCAAGATACATACTAGATATTGATTTATTGATTTTTTCTAAATTACTATTAAACCATTCCTCTGTCAGATTTTTTTACAATGCCTCCTAAATATCAAGACAATCATTTAAAAATTGCAAGAAACTTTAAAACACAAAAAAAAATTAAAAAAAATCAAGAATTTAATGTTTTTAATAACAGTTCAGATGAAACAGTTTATGACTGAAACAATAATTGGTATAATTGGTTCAGGTGATGAATTTGAATTATTATCTGAGAGTGATTCTAATGAAGAGATTGTGATTACTCTTAAGATTTAGAAAAAACTGTTCCAGAAGCTCTTGAATCAATATCTTTAGAACATAAGAATGAATTATTGTCTGTAATTCGAATATTAATTAGATCCTTGGACCAGTATAAAAGGCCACAATTCCAAGAATTACAAGCAAAAAATAAAGATCAATTATTAACAATTTTGCAACAAGTTCAGGACATTCACAATGGCAATGGAACAGGAATGATATAAGAGGAAGTGTAGTACTTATCTAGGAAAACTAAAGCAACTCTAAGATAAGTAAAATTATCATTATTATTATTTGGTATTAAATTGTTCAACCATTAACTTATTGTTTTATTAGTAGTGATTTATTGAAAAAATCAATTGATGTTGTAATCATATTATTCAAGGTAATTCAATTTCAATATTAATAATACAACCTTTTTGTTTTAATCTTGTCAATGTGATTTATGTAACATATGTAAATGAAAATCAATCATTAAATTATTATACAAAGATTATGACTGGTGAAAAAATAGGCACTGTCTGCTTAATAGAATGATGAGATACAAAGCTTGAAATTTATTTTATATATTAAAAACATGTTGGTTTTATTAGAGCCTCATATATATTAAATGCTTTAAATTTTTTATAGCAGATGATGTAATAATTTGCATATGACAACTTACTAAAATAATAACAATGAATGAATATATGACATTACATTCCTTGAATTACCAAGAAAAAGGCTTTTAGAATAAAATATTTCTATGGAAATTTATAAACATAATTTATTCCGACTATATAAGTTTTTAAAATTTGTTGATCAATTTTATTATAGAATTTTTTTCAATTTCTAGAATGCCGATCATTACAATTTTAGAAATTCCATATTTGGTAATAATCCTGACTGTAATATATAGATTATTGGCTACCTTTAATGTAATGTGCGCGCCCACACTCAATTTCACACACTGATTATATATTAAATCTGTTTTTAGAAAGATCATCATTTTGAATGCATTTTTTGCAAAATCTTATATAGAACTTTATATTGCAAGTGTACAATCTGAGTTTCCTATTTAATAGGCTATTCTGATGTTCAATACACAGTCAAGACTCACTTTGCCCACTGAATTACAGTTTATTCCACTATCTTTTGACACACTGTCTGGATAGTCCAAATATTTGACACACAGTCAAGACTTACTTTGCCCACTGAATTATAGTCAAAATTTCTTTTATCTTATGACCCACTGTCTAGATAAAAGATCTCTAGGTTGTTTAACTAAATATATCCCAAATAAGGCTTCTGGTCCAAACTGTTTCTCAAAGCCCAAACTAGTTTGGGCAATTTGGGCTTCTCAACATTTTCTATAAGCATGAACATTAAAAAACTATATGAATCAACTTGTTTTAACTTAAACAACTTTAAAATAATTTCGCCCAATTTCGGCTAATAACAAAAAGTAGTTTGGGCTTATAAAAAAATAATTTTTGCCCAAAGTATTTGGGCAATTTCAGCTACTAATAGAAGCAGTTTCGACCAGAAATCTTAATCCCAAAGGCAACCCTTGAGATGCATCTCAATAATTAAAGGGTTCCCAACTAATAATTAAAGGTTGGCCAGACCATTAATCATTAGAAGGGCCAGGAATCAATCACACTGGGTTTATTAGTTACTTGCAGTCAAAGACTATTTTATGTAAGGGTTATATATTTATTTAAAATGTTAGGAGCTTATGTTATTGTTATCAAGTTTGTTATCAACAATATTGTTATTAACTTGGTCTAAAACCAAGTGTATTTATACCTCTTAGGGCAATACAAATAATGTGATTTGTGCTATTCTACTCTCCAATAATATACTTATTAACTAATACATAAGTAGAAATACAAATACAGTCAACCCCCCAAATGCACCTCCATAAATGCACACCCCTCTAAATGCTCACTTTCTTTCATTCCCAAGCTCAGGACTTAAGAGATAAGTGCACCCCTCTATACCTGCACTGCATGGTCTTTTTTCATTCCCAACTATATAAAACATCCTCCCTAAATGCACACTGTGACTTTCATGTGATTTGATGCATTGTTAATCATGTAACCTTTGAAAATTTTACAAATTTGGGCTTTGACTTAATTCCCAAAATCTCAATTTTTAATTGTGTCTTGACTCAATTACTTATATGTTTTTCATATACTCAAGTAATTGCATCAAAAAGTCACTCAATTGAGTCAAGCATAAGTATGTTAGCTGAAGTTGGCTCTCTTAATAATGGTGAAATAGTTTTTCATAAATGTTGAAATTAATTTTATTAGTTGCCAAAATTATATCCGAAGTTATTTGGACTCTTTAATTAAATATTAAAAGGCTGGGTAGATTTTGTATGTCTATTGATACAAAGAGTATTGTAAATCCAAAATTGATTTTTTCAAAAACCATTTTGACTAACATTCTTATCAGCCTATTTCTACCATAATTAGCAAGTTTGGAAATTATCCATACAATGAACAAGCAAAATCAGTTAATTCTTTTGAAAAGTATATTAACTTAAAAAAAATAAATACAATGGAACAAATTACAATAGGTAGATTCATGACTTGAATTTTTTTTTTGTAATTTAAAAATTTTTAATTGGTTTCGCACAAGTCACCAAGATGTGCAGCCAATAGAATGCCTTAATTCCTTAAATGTACACCCTCCCTAAATGCACACTCCCACTCATTCCCAAGGGGGTGCACTTGGGGGGTTGACTGTATAAAGATCTTCAGTATAACATTACACATTATGCAGCGCAACTATTATATACAATAATATATAGAAAGATGGTTGTGTAATATTTAGCATATCACATGACTTCCGGAGTAAGTTCATTCTATAGGTCCAAGATTTACTATCTAACAATATGAAATTTATATATTCAATAGCTCAGGTTCTTATTGTGAATATAAAATTGTATAGTGCAGGACATCTATAATTGGGGTATTCAATATAAGTTGATTAACAAATCCAATTAATGTCATAATGTAAATCAATATACAGTCAAACCTCATCACGGCAGATTCATGGTACCAGCCAAAAAATCTGTTGTGACAAGAAATCTGCTATGGTGATAGTGTTCCATGTCACAACCCAAAAAAGGAAACAAAATGGTCGTAAAGGTGGTTGTAACCAGTGGTTGCAATCATTTTTATATGACACAGAGGTGGTAGCAACCATCATCAAAAGTTGCAGCTGGTATCCTTATATGGTGATGATCATAATTGATAAAAATTTTTAATATAATACAGAAATAAATGAATACATGTGGAAATTAATGTTCCATGTCACAATCCAAAAAAGAAATCAAAATGGTCATAAAGATGATTGCAACCAGCAGTTGCAACTATAGATGGGTGTCTAAACTAAATTATTTAGACAATGTCTAAAATATAAATTAATTTAGACATTTAGACAATCATGGTCTCAATTGTCTAAAATGCTGAAATTGAATTTTTTATTGGATAATTTACTGAACTTTGTGGATTTTGTGACTTTTAGTTGTATTTAAAGCAAATCGTTACTATTTATATTAATTTAGACATTTAGACATTTTTGTCTAAATACTATTTTGACTTTAGACAACCCCAAAAACAATTTAGACGCCATCTATAGTTGCAACTATTTTTATATGATGCAAAGATGGTAGCAACCATCATCAAAAGTTGCAGCTGGTATCCTTAGTGGAAATTAAAATTATTTGTTGTAATATTTGTTTTATTATCAATTGGTTTATTTTGAAACTTGGAAATTTTGTTACTTGCACACATTCAGATAAATAATCAATCAATTGTTGGTTTACTAATATATTTTTAGTGTTTGTTACTTGCAAAAATTTGGACAAATAATCTATCAATTGTTTGTTTATTAATTTATTGATTTATTTTAGAAATTTGGTAAAGGTTGTTACTCACAAATGTTTGGGCAAATAACCTATCAATTGTTTGTATTGGTTTATTTTAGAAAATTTTGTTACTCCTAAATCTTTGGATAAAATTGTTTGTTTTATTGCTTTATTTTAATACTGACCTTTGATTAAAATAATCTATTTGATTATTATTTTGGTAATTTGGATAATTTATATGTCATGTGAATCCACTGTGATGAGACTAGTAGCCATATAGAAAGACCTCCATCAAAAATCTGTTAATGTTGTGGAACAAATTTATTATATAATAAAATCCATTATGGCAAACATTTTTAATTAATAAAAAAAGGGCCAATATTTAAATCTGTTGTAACAAGAAATCCGCTGTGGTGAGTAAGGTATCTGGTCCAAACTGTTTTCTCAAAGCCCAAACTAGTTTGGGCAATCTGGGCTTCTCAGCATTTTTTATAAACATGAACATTAAAAAACTATATCAATCAACTTATTTTGACTTAAACAACTTTAAAGTAATTTTGCCCAATTTCTGCTAATAACAAGGGCTTATAAAAAAGTTATTTTTGCCCAAAGTGTTTTGGCAATTTTGGCTACTAATAAAGAGAGTTTCGGCCAGAAACCTTAGTGGTGAGGTCCACTGTGACAAGGTTTGACTGTATGTGGATTATTTTATGATATCCCTTTTTCTTCTGAAAAAGGAAACAGTGTAACAAAAACTTTGCTATATATAAAGTCTATAAAGTTTTTTTTTATTTTGAAGGTTTTAGAAACCTTTCAAGCAATTTAATTGCAGGAGATATCTATATTTCACATAATTTTTTGGGAATAGATAAAAGATATTACAATAAAATTGTATTTCAAATGAATTTTTTTATGTCATTGTTATTTTTACATCCATTAAATCTTTCCATGGCTCTAAAATATAATGTATATACTAATCTTTCATGGAAAGTTGGTATCCATATCTTTGAAAACAGGGAAGTAGTGATTTGAAAACAGCATGTTCATTAGTGTTTTACTAGTGTTACAAACTTTTAATCACTAAGGCTTCTGGAAAATTGTTACATTTATAAAATTATTAGAGGTTTTAATTAGGTGACATCTCTAGAACATGCTATGGAGAGAGGATTTTTATTTCATAGAATTTTTTTGGAAGTTGCAATAGATAGAAGTATTACAATAAAGAAAGAAATTTGATATATTTTGAATGAGATTTTTTATGCCACTGGTATTTTTATATCCATTAAATCTTTCCATGCCATGCCTCTAAAAATATAATGTATATACTATCTTTCATGGAAATTTGATATTCATATCTTTGAAAATGGAGGAGAATTAGTGGTTTGAAATCAATATGTTTACTATGTTCTTTACATAGATTTCAGAAATTCTGTATGTGATATGCAGATTACAAAAAAAAATCACATATAACCAATCAATATATAATATTAATTAGTTTGATTTTCATAGAGTGTTGCACACCTCAATCTATAATGTTCAATGATTCACATGACTTTAAAAGCTTATAACTCCTTATTAAAAAAGAAAAAGTAAAAAGTAAACTGATGGAATTAAATCTAAAGACCTAAGCTTCATTTCATCAATTTACTTTTTCATTTATTAAAAAAGGTTTGAGTAATAAAGCTTCAAAGTTAGGCCATTTTATATATGTCTATATGTAATTGTAAAATTTTGGAATGATCTTCCCTTGTGATTTCCTAAAAGGCTGACGATCGGCTTAAATTTTTTGTGATACAGAAAATCTTTCCAGTAAAAGAAATTTGATCACTTAAATTAGAAATATCTTCTAAGGTTTTAAATTTTGGACTGTGACATTTATAGATGACTTTAACCATACTATCTAGAACTTAAAGAAGTGAAAATCAATTATCAATAATACATTAATAACAATAGAAATTTGCCAATATGTTTTTAAATTTTTAATTACAGTTTTCTAGATCCTGTAGAATCATGAAATTCCATATGTTTAGTATCTAAAACCAAAGACTTTCATTTGATATAATTTAACCAATAAGAATCTAAATTACAAATCACTTTTTATTAATTTTTATCATGTGATATTTTGAAAAACTGCATTTGAATACTTTCTTCCAGGTACTGTATATAAACTAAAAGCAAATATTTCAATGTAAATAAATTATATTTTTTTATGATTAGTAAATAAACAAAGTTAGGTGAATATTCAAAACTAATTATTTTTTTTTAAATTGATCATTATTTTACCCGATAAAAAATCCTCTTGTATACAGTCAGACCTCCATAAATGCACATTGTCCCTTGGTCCCAAAGAGGGGTGCATTTATGGAGGTCTGATTGTAATTCCTTATATATGTGGTTAACTATTTTTGTGTATATTATAATTTGTAACACCACAATGGGACATGGAATGGGATATGGAACATGGGATATGTGATGGATCTGGGATGGGATTTTTACTAATATCAAAGCCCTGCCCACCCGTATCCCATAGTATGGGTGGCAAGTAACCCCTTTTATTAACAAAATTTCAACATCAATCAATCATGACAGATTGCTTGACTAATAACTTTATTATAAAAAGTATATCTGGATATTCATTCAGATTAAGATTTTAAAATGATACCCGAATTGAAAATAATAGTAATAGTAATAGTAAGGATATCCGGATATTTTAAGAGGATATCAATATCTGTTCAACAAAATTCTATCCAGATCCAAGCCCTAAGTCATGTATATCATTTGACAATGATTTTCACTATCAATCAATTAAATTATTTTCTCAATTCCCTCGTATTTAAAATCCATAATAAATATCAACAATAATAATGTCTGGACTCTCTACATCTTTAGAAGATCCAAACTTAATCACTTTAGCTTTATCCCTACGACAAACTTTAGAACCTAGTACCAGAGCATATGGTAACCGATTTCCTTGCTAATTTTGATGAGTAGAAAAAAATTTTTATAGATCAGTTGTTAACTAAGCTTTCTTTTATATATTAGCCGAGAAACAATTAGAAGTAGAAGAACAACGACCAAACTTTTCAATCTCTCTTTTACAACTTGTCACAAATGATACTCTTGAAATAACTGTACGAACTGCCGCCGCATTACTTTTTAAAAACTATGTTAAAAGAAAATGGAACTGGGTATTTAAATTTTCCTAACATGTTTCTACTCATTAATATTTTTTTGTTATGGCATCACAATAATTTATGATATTGGATTCATTTAATGATAATTATTAGGAAGAAGAGTCTAAGATCCAACCTGAAATAAGAAAAACCATAAAGGATACCATTATTGACATTTTAATTGCTGTTCCTACCACTCTTCAAACTCAACTCATTGAAAGTATAACTATCATTGCCGATTCTGATTTTCCTGATGACTGGGAAAATTTATTACCAGTAAGTTGACCTCTTATTAATATAATCCAATGTCAATTTATTTTAAATTTAGTCTGACTTCACATCTTTTTAGAAATTGATTCATAACTTTAGTCAAGATAATTTTGTCCGTAATAATGCTATATTATTAACAGCTCATTCTATCTTCAAAAAGTAAGTTTACAAAATCAACATAATATATAATATATTATTAATTATTTCAAGATTACTAATTATAAATAAAAAAAAAATTAAATGATCTAGATGGAAGCATCAATTTAAATCGGATCCTTTATATAAAGAGATAAATTATGTTTTGGATATATTTTGTGAACCATTTTTTCAACTTTTACAGGTATAAAAAATTAAAGATTTTCATAATATTTAAATTCAATACTAAAGATTATTAATAAATATAGGCAACTGATGCATATATTGAGCAAAACAACAACAATAAAGAAAATCTTCAATTGTTTTCCAACACATTATTACTACTATTAAAAGTTTTCTATGATCTCAATTGTCAAGATCTTCCTCCATTTTTTGAAGATAATTGGGAAGCATGTATGAATCTTTTTCATAAATACATAACTTATCAAAATCCATTATTGGAAACACAGGTGCTTTTTTAAATTATCACTATTAATTAAATTATTTAATTTGTGAGAAAAGAATAATAACTTAAATTTTTTTATTAGAGTGAGGAAGAAGCTGGCACACTCGAGAAAATAAAATCTTCAGTTTGTGAAATTATTATATTGTACACAAATAAATATGAAGAAATATCTACAATGTTACCACAGTTTGTTAATACAATCTGGAACTTTTTAACTACAATAGGATTGGAACCTAAATATGATATTGTAATTATTTTATGTAGAATAAAATTTATTAATATTTTTTTAAAGAGAAAAATCTTCATTTATACTTTATTATATTATTATTTATTATTATTTTATTAGCTTGTGAGTAAAGCCATGACCTTTTTATCCACAGTTGCAAAACTAGAAAGATATCAAGTTATTTTCAAAAATCTTTTTAATAATGATGAGGCTATCAAACAGTTTTGTGAAAAAATTGTACTTCCAAATATGTACTTTAGAGGTGAATACATTTTTATTTAATATATGAAAAAGAAAACATTATTTATTAATTATAATAAATTTATATTTATACATATATCAATTTAAAATATAGTTGTTGACGAGGAGTTATTCGAATTTGATCCTATTGAATATATCAGAAGGGATTTGGAAGGATCAGGTACTGCGAAACTTTTTTTAAGAATCACTTGAAGAACTTTTTATTTACTTTCTTTCTATCTATCTTTTTATTAGATAGTGATACTCGTAGAAGGGCTGCAACAGACTTTGTGCGCAGCTTGATGTCACAGTATTTGCACAATATAACAAGAGTTATTGGAGTTTATATTGCAGAATTCCTAAAGGTATTATAATTTATACATATATAAAATTAATGGCAGCAAGGAATAAAAAAAACAAAATTTTGGTTTTTTATCATTAGCGTTATAATGAAAATCAAAAAAATTGGAAAGACAAAGATGTAGCAATTTACCTTTTAACTTCAATTGCCACTCCTGGAACTACTACAAAAGTAAGTTATACTATTCAATTATCAGTTGAACTTAACGAAGCTTTATTGTTTGCAAAAGAGATAATCAGATTATTCAAATTAAATTACAAGTATGGTCTCACGGTAGTAAATGATTTAGTAGACGTTGTTGAATGGTTCTCTGCAAATGTCTTACCAGATTTACAAACTGTTGTTGATAGTGGGGAACCAGTTTTGAAGGTCGATGCAATTAAATACATATACACTTTCAGAAATCAGGTAGTTCTTCTCTTTTGCTTTAAAATAGACATTATTATTGTTATTGTTATGCAAACTTATGATTAATGCTTTATTATTTTTTTATATAAATATATATGTAGATGAATAAATCACAACTAACTAGTGTTTTCCCATTATTAGTCAAACATGTTTCATCTTCCAATTATGTAGTTCATACTTATGCTGCAATAACTATTGATAAAATGTTAACAATGCGCAAAGATAATGCAATGTTGTATGTGTGCTTTTTTTTATTTGTTCAATTAATAATGTAAAATTACTGATACAACAACTTACAAAACCCATTAAAGATTTAGTAGGGCAGATATTAAGCCATATACTCAAGAACTTTTAATTAGTTTATTCAGATTAATCGAGTCAGGAACAACACCTCAAACATTAGCGGAAAATGATTATCTCATGAAAGGTATATCTATATTTTTAAAATTTTGTTGTAAATTTATTTCTTTTGTTAATAATGGAGGCTGATTTTTTATTTTAGCTGTAATGAGAGTTATTTTCACTAGTCGTGAGGATATTTTACCTTATGTTGGAGATATTATGAGTCACTTAATTGCTATTTTAGGACAAATTAGTAAAAATCCGAGTAATCCTCGTTTCAATTATTATGTTTTTGAATCAATTGGAGCATTGATTAGGTATATTAGTTTTTTTGATTAATAATTTCAATTTTTTGGTTAATCATATCAAAAATGTTTTATGCTTTTAGAAAAATTTTCAAAAATTGATATTTATTATTCAGCTAATTATACCCATCTAGATTCAATTGTCAAGGTAATACTGAACTAAGAAAAAATTTCGAGGATACTCTGAGTGGTCCATTCCAATACATTATGGATAAGGACGTATCTGGTATATTTTCAAGTTTTTGATTTTTTGTTTTAAATTAATAAGGTCATTAAACTTATTATTATTACTATTTGAATTTTAGAATTTATTCCATACGCTTTTCAAATCTTTTCACAACTTCTTGAATTACATAATGAACCTCAGATTCCTGATTTCTACAGAGATTTGTTACCACAATTGTTGAATCATGTTGTTTGGGAATCTGCTGGTAATTAATATCTATATAATTTTATATTAATAAATAATACTCGATTAAAAATAATTTTATTTTCTTTTAAAGGAAATATTCCTGGGCTAGTTAAATTATTACAAACATATCTTTATCGATATTCAAATATAATAATTTCAAACGGACAACTTGAGCCAATTTTAGGCATCTTTCATAAATTAATTGCAAATAAGAAACGTGATAAATATGGATTAGATTTATTAAGCTCAGTCATTCGAAACGTACCTACGTAAGTCCCTCTAATAACATTTTATGATATATGAATTTTATTTTTACATTAATTTAACAAAAACAATGTTTTTTTAATAAATTATATTAGAGCTGCATTAAATCAATATATTGGTCCAATATTAACGCTTCTATTATCAAGATTTCAAAGTAGTAAAACTGATTCATACACTATGGGATTCGTTTATTTTGTATGTTATTTTCTTGCTGTAGATAAGGAAGGGATGAATCCAGATTATGTAATCCAAGCATTTGATTCACTTCAAAATCAGTATGGTTTTTTTCTGGACGTATTTCTTTAGTTGATTTCAATTAAACAAAGGATAATTTTTTCTTAATTAACTATATATTACTTTTTTTTTGGCAGACTTTTTATACAAGTCTTGAATGCCTTCATCATTCCTCATTTACAAAAAGTTCAAGGTTACATGGAACGTAAAATTTGCGCAGTGGGGATGACACGTCTTATAACACAAAGTAATATAATGTTAACAGACAAATATTTTAATGAATGGTAATATTTATTTTAATTCACATTTTGTTCTTATTTATTTTAAAGAAATATCACTCTAAAATAATTCCTTATTCCTAATTTTATATATATATATATATATATATATATATATAGGCCTTCTGTTTTAGTTGCACTAATTAAACTTTTTGAAGCACCAACTGAAATTGAGAATTACAATGAAGACAATTACTTTTTGACAATTGATTTTGAAGAAGATATGCAATTCCAAACCTCGTATTCCAAATTAGCAACTACCAATAAACCAAAGGATGATCCTACAGAATCAATCAAAGATCCAAAAATCTTTTTAGCTCAATCCATTAAAAATCTGAATGATTTACATCCTGAAATGGTATGTATCTTTTTATTATGTAAATTTATTATATGATTTGTTATTATTATTTACCATTATCACAAATACCTTAATTGATATTAGATATCTGAAACAATACAAAAAAGAATACCACCTGAATATACGCATTACCTTTTTCAATACATGACATACTAATTATATATACTCAAATACTATTAATCTTATATACCATATTCCTATTTCTCCTAAGCTTAAAATAGCTAAATTAAATTTAGAAAAATTTTTTCAGAGTCACACTAACGCGGGCAAATAAATTCATTCGAGTTTGTTTGTATTTGATTTCTGAACTAAATTTGGCCAAAACTTTGTACATAGTGTGAGGAGGATACCTGTTTTTTATTAAATGATTGCAACTATAATTGCTGTCGAAATTCCTGAATTACAACAATTTGCTATTATAAGCTGTAAATAAATTTGACATGACACCCTGAAGTCATAAAAGGCATTAACCCTAAAACCACAAAGCTATAATAGTAATTATAGAAATATACCTCATAACTAAAAAACTATCAAGTAATTTTGCTATATCATCATGCGCAGCACCTTTTGGCGGGCCTCAAATGCCTAGCTATCTTGTGAATGTTTCCAGCAATAAATCAAAACTTTTCCGAAGCTTTTTCCTCTCTGCAAAAAGCTATCAAAAGGAAAGTGTGAACATGAAGACATTATTAGTTTGTTAGTAAATTGATTCAAAAAGTCTGGCTATGCTTAGAACTATACATGCAGCCCAAATTGGTTTGGTAATTTCAATGGTCAAAATTATTCCAATTTTGATTAAGGTTTCTGGCCAAAACTTTCTTTATTAGTAGCCAAAATTGCCGAAACACTTTGGGCAAAAATAATTTTTTAAGCCCAAACTATTTTTTGTTATTAGCCAAAATTGGATGAAATTACTTTAAAGTTGCTTAATTTAAAATAAGTTGATTGATATAGTTTTTTAATGTTCATGCTTATAAAAAATGCCGAGAAGCCCAAATTGCCCAAACTAGTTTGGACCAGAAACCTTAATTTTGATGGTATATAGAAAGTAGAAATTAATTACAACACTCACTATTAAAAACATAAGTGTAACACCCCTTTATGACAGCATCAAAATACTTTGGGCTGCATGTATACTTAGAACCAAATTACAGCATAGATAAGGAAGGAGGGGATCAAATAAATGGCATCTATGGCTCTCAAGCCTACCTTATATGTAAAAAAAAGCATTGATATCTAAATGGCAAATGGTGGATTGATAGTTAAGGCAGTAAATATTATTTGGTTTGTAATTATATTAAAAATCTGGGAATCTATCTCTCTTAATGAGTTATTAGAAGTGTATTCTGAAAATACAGTCCTATCCCTTGGAATTATCTCTTAAATTTCCAGATAAATGCATAGCAGTAGAGGTGTAAATAAAGTTATCAGTAAAAATCCATTGATCATGCCACAGGTAAGGAAATATGTTCAGAGGGAGCCTCAGATAACAAATTATAAATAAATTTTACTTTATTTAATCTGCAATTATGATTTGCTATCTGTCATGCAGTGTTGTGCAATTGGAACATTGTAATGCTATTGGAATGTTCCAATATGGCTCCAATATGGTTTCAATGTAGATCTTCAATTGATATTGGCCAATAAAATTTGTGTGTGAGACACACTAATTGAATTTCATTGGTTAACTTCATTGGAACCACATTTGGAACATTCCAATTCCAATTAGAATTTGTTGGAACCATAAATGGTACAACACTGTTGTCACATGTCATAAAAGTTCATTTTATTGCATGCCCCTTTTCTCTTTATAAAAAACACTGCACAGTATGTGTCTTGTTTTTGTAAATTACTACCACACTACAGTACAATGGAGTGTCAACTTACAGAATATCAATATATTTACCAGCATTTAACAGATAATACATTAGTTTTAAAATTTTCTATTTGTATTTCAGTTACATTTCTTTATAAATGCACTTCAGAAAACATTAGAGTCATTACATGACAGTGTCAAAATACTTTGGGGCACATGTATAACCATGAAGCTGAAAAACAAAAACAATTATGAGAACTGCTTAAGGGGTTCTTGAAAATGTCTGCAATACAAGCACTTCCATTGTCAGAGGAAGCAAAGAAGAACATTGGTGAACTTGAGTTTTTTTGGAATAAGAAGAATTGGAAATCATTTTCATTTTTGAGGTAGTTTTCAAATTTTAAGATATCTCATGTGCTCATGTCTGTTAGGAGAATTTCATCTACCATCATTTGAGGAATAAAGTGTAGTGGCATTCAGGATCTATTATATGTAAGGCTCCTAATGGCTTGATTTGAGCCGGTTTGATGAGTAAACCAAACCAAATTTATTTTTAAACCAATAAAAATTTTAAAATGATAGTGTTACTAGAATTATAAATTAATGCTGATTCATCAGTCAAAATTCTCTAATTCCGCATTAATAATATTCCATTTTATTTATTTCATATAACATTACAGTCAACACCCTCCAAGTGGGAATGAGTGATAGCATGCACTTAGAGGGGATGTGCACTTGGAGAAATAAAAATTTATTACTGTATATTAATTATTATAACATTAACCATTATCACAAAAAAAAAATTTATATAATTATTGATTAAGATACTTTGCCTCATCATATTTATTGCTTTTAAACTAATATATCTATCAAGAGAATTAACCAGTTTCATTTGTTGACTAGAATTTCTTGTGTATGGGCAATTTCCAAGCTTTTTGAAGCTTCACTAGCACTTATTGATGCTTGCTCAATGCTATCATCTTCTTCAGAATAATCAGTATCTGCTGTCTATACATTTCCACAAGAACTTCAATAATATTATCATCATCAGGGGCTTCATATACAGTTTCTTCTTCTGGATTATTCAAATATTCTTGAATAGGTATTGCATCATTTAGATTGAGAGCAAGCAACTGCCTGAGAAAGTTGGTTTGTTGTTGGATCATTAATATCATCAGAGAGATTGGATTAATTTGGTCTGGAAGAATTTTAGTATGATGCCATCAATTATAAATGGTTTGTGGTGACACTTACTTCCAACTTTTAATAATAAATTTTATTGCCTGTAGTTAAAGACACTTGCCATAAATGATTGGGCTGGTTACCATTGCCATAAATAGCCGTTGGTAGCTACCATTTGCCATAAATAATTATGGCTGCTGCAAATAGATGCAGTTACCATAAATAGATACAGATGCTGCAAATAGATACAACTACTGCAAATAACCATGACTGCTGGAAATAGTTTTTAATTATTGTCATTAGCATTATTAATCATTGAATTATTTGTGATCTGCAGTAACTGAATTTTTTGAATTGTAATTGATGAATTCAATTAGTTGGTCATTCATTTACAGTGAACTTATGTGTAAAAATAAAATTTGTGACAGTTGTGCCTGTTTGCAGCAGCTGTATCTGTTTGTGGCAGCCATATCTATTTATGGCAACTGCATCTATTTGCAGCCATATCTGTTCGTGCAACCACATCTATTTGCAGCTATTTATGGCAGCTGTATTTATTTGTGGCAGTTATATTTATTTGTGGTAGCCATAAATATTTTATAATGGTAGTTACCATTGCCACAAATAACCAATTATGGCAGGTGTCTTTACCTGTAGTACATCCATTTTTAAAATTTTTATATCATTTCCTGCTTCAACTTGATTTAGAATCCAGTTAATATGTAAATGGCGATATTGTCTTTTAAAAGACATAATGATACCAGCATCCATTGGTTGGATTTTTGAAGTGGTATTTGGGGGGAATGTACATCAACATTTGAAAGAACCAAACCATCTATCTATTTTGTGACTTGGACAATTATCAAGAAGCAATAATACCCATTGGTTTCCATATTTTGAAACAATCTCTCTGTTGAATTCTTGGATCCAATCTTGAAAAACAGTGGTTAACATCCAAACCTTTGTATTATTATGATATGTCATTGATAAGTTATTAAGGTCAACATTAATAAAGCATTATGGTGTTTTAAAATTTTCCGATTAATAATGGATCCAATTTGTGTGATCCATCTGTATTAGCACACAAGGCAATTGAAAGTCTTTCTTTATTCTTTTTACATCCAGAAAGTCTTTGTGTGGCTAATGTTCTAATCTAAAAAAAAGACCTGTTTCGTCTATGCTGTAGATTCTTTCAGGTGGATAACTACTACTGCGAGCGTGCAATCCGAGTTTTCTAGTTTATTCGGTTATTTATTTATTCAACACACAGCTAGGTCTCTTACCTACTGTTTTACAGTTGACTT